GCCAGGTGCATAACAAGCTGGGAGTACAGCACAGCTAGGCCAGCTAACCCAAACTGACCAAAGAGCTATTCCATATCATATAACGTCATGCTCGGGGGGGTTAGTCGGTTGTTCGTTTGGTCACGGGGAGACTGCTCGCGGCTCGGGGACTGATTGTGGCTCGGGGACTGATCGCGGCTCGGGACGTGCTGGGCATTGGTCGGCGGGTGGTGAGCAATTGCATTGTGCAGCACTCGTTTTGTATATTCTGCATATTCTGTTATCATTCTCATTATTACTATTATTATTATTTTCTCTTATTAAACTGTCTTTATCTCAGCCCTTGGCTCTAACCTTTTATTTTCTTCCCGATTCTCTCCCCCATCCCACTGAGGGAGGGGGGGGAGTAAGCGAGCGGCTGCGTGGTGCTTAGTTGCCAGCCGGGTTAAACCACGACACGTCTTTCTGTATTTATGCATATCTTGTTATTCTGGATTGTAACTGCAGTAATATACAATAATTTACAGTGCTCAAAATTCAGAATACAAACATGCTAAATTCAGTTATTGGTGTTCATATTATCTTGTGCTTTTCTATGCAGGTAATTACATTTTAGTCATTAACTGAAGTGCAACACTTCATACTGGCTAGAATGACTGCCATGCATTTTTAATGGTTTCTCTAAGTATCATTAAGTGATAATTTGAAAAAATAAACAAACAACCAGCAGTATACACAACTGGCTATTAATGAAGCCTGTTCTTAATTCACTTTTAAAATCAACAAAAGTTGTGGTATAAAATGTATCAATAGGTTATAACTGGGTTTTATATAAAACATTTGAATGTTTTATATAAATATTTTTTTAATCTGTCTATTCTAAATATATACTTTCATATCAAGAGTAAAGTAGTGCGTCTGCTTGATGTTAGAGAGTTGATACAGGAATGGTCACCAATATTGCTTTATGGCTTTTCTGTCCTGTGTCTAATCAACAAAACATTTTGACTTCTATGTGGCCTCTACTGTATGTCTGCTAGAAATGTCTCTGGTTTTCAGTGACAAAACACAATAAAGCTTTGTAACCTGATTTCCTATTCTTGTTTTTTCTGAATCTTTGCTAGCCTACACTGAAACCATACAGTGGCGGAGCTGTGTCTGTTTTACCTTCTGTCTTCCTATTTTATAGCTGGGTATGACAAGGTAGCATTGCAGTTTCAATGTCTAATCACTTTCCAAATATCAATGCCATATTGAGGGCAAAGATGTCTGAAGTTGCATCCAAATGATCATGAGAGTGAGTTTTAATTTTTTGTGAGGGATGCAGTGCTCCAAAGACTGGAGAAATGTGGAAATAATTTATTCCTACCTCCCCTCCCTTCAAATAATTTCTGTATTATGTGCAGTTTGGCCAAACTAGAATAATGTCATAGTAAATATTTGAATTCTCATGCTGTGAATATCTCTGCAATTTATAAGAAAACGCTTAGTTTTGTTGAGACTTCCTCTGAAAACATGTACTATACACTTAATCTCCCTTCAGTTGTTTGAAACCAGTATTTTTTAGCATTCATTCTTCTGTAATTCCAGGAAGTGTATTTTCAGTTGTTCAGATAGTTATAGAAAAGTATTGTAGTCCTTAGCAGGCAGCACCTACTGGAAAATGAGGCATTTGGGTTCCCACCATCCGAAACTACTTTAGTTGTAATAAATTAGTTTTCCCTAAGCTGATTCTGTTTTGCCTGTGATGGTAATTGGCAAGAGACTTTCTTGTTTGTGTCTTGACCCATGAGATTTTTCATCTTCTTTTTTTCCCCTGTCTTGTTTAGGAGGGGGAGCAGCAAGATAGTGACTTGGGTGGGCATCTGGCAACTGGCCAAGGTCAACCTAACAGGACCCTAAAGGCTTTTTCAAGTCTGTGTAAATTGTGGCTCTATTTACAGTCCAAGGGTATAATTTTGCTTGAGTTAATATTCCTGCTTGCTTCTTCAGGTCCTTCGTTAGGAATAATTTAAAAAAATATGTACCTGACATGCATTTACACTCCCATGCATTTTCACGTCTGTGTGAATGATCTGGCTTTACAGAAGTAGTTTACAGTGCATATGTATGCATAAATATTTTGCATGTTGATTCATTTATGTCCCTCAGCTTTTTCAGTTACAGTAATTGTATATATGGGACAAAACTACACATACCAAGTTGCTGCATTTAAGTTTTATCATCTGTCCATTGCAGTTATTCATGCTGGTTTAGTATGCTTTTGCAGTAAGCATCCACATCAAATAAATTTGCTCTTGTGCATTTTATGTTTTTATTAAATGCTCATTAAATGAGATGCATGGTATTCATGAAGTCTGCTGCTTAGTGCATTGAAATCCCAGAAAATGCATTGTTTGTAAATTCTTTATGCAGAATAAGCCAAGGCTTTTCTCTTCTACTGAAACATGTCAGGGTCCAGGACACGTTGCTATCAGTGTAGTGTTGTTCTGTGTGTAGGACTGATTTGGAAGGTTTAAGACCTGGAGAATGGGTACAGCCATTCCCATGTGTCCTTAGTGCAAGTTGCAGTGCCTCCGGATGTGCTGTTCCTGATAGACTAGGAAGGGTTATAAGCAAGGATAAACAGGTGATTTCTTGCTTCTCTTATTGGTAATGTCGTAGGTAAAAAATAAGGACTTTTGGACAGATTAAATAGGTTAATTTTTGGCCTTAGTCATGCATGCGGAATCTAGCTCATATCTCAATCAAGTTCAAAAAAGGGTAAGATTTGTCCTAAGCGTCAAAAATTTATGCTGGATAAAAGTGGTCTGGTGATAAAATATGAGACTTAGTTTTATCTGCTTTTCTCTCCATAGTAAGCATTAGTCAGAACACCTCTAAGAATGTAGTTTTTGTCCAGAATGGAATTTCATGTTAAAAAAAAAATCTCAAGCCTTTTGTTCTTCTGAAACTGGAGGGGTGAGATACCAGTTATGTTCGAGTTATTTTCTCACCATGCAACCACTTGTACTCATAAGCCTGAGTACTTATTTATTAGTTCCTTCCCAGAAAGGTGATTGGGTTTGTCTGTAGAGGTACGACCTATCGAGATATTGCAGCGCTACAGAAGTCTGGTTAGGATGTAGCACGTTATGATCATACCTAGCTCCTACAGCGTATTTAACACGTGTGGTGAATGGCCAATATAGGAAGCGGTCTGTGTGCTGTGTGCGATCAACTGCTTGTTGTAAAAGAGGAACGCTGCTTAGTCTGAAACTGGAGAGTAGGGATTTTTGTTTGGTTTTGGTTGTGCTTTGAGAGGTGTTATCAGCAAATAGCAGCGAAAGCATCTTTAAGGGTGCTCAGAGAGGTGAGTTTTTTTTTTTTTTTTTAAAGCATTTATTTACAAAAATAGTCTTAGGCTGTGAAATCAGCTGTGGAATTCGTGCTACAAACTTTGATTTCTTTCATTTGGGGCAAGATAGTGCTGAAGCCTGCTTTGGGCTGTATAGAGAGCATATTAGATAAACAGTTGCTTTGTAGTTCTTTTTGTATAATAGTCTAGTACGATTTGGCTGCTCCCACCAAGAAAAAAAAAAATCCAAATAATTCTGCGTCAATTCTGTGAGATAGCACTTCAAAATAGATGCAGACCAATAATTTTTAATGTTCTTTTTACAAAGCAAAGTTAAGCTGAAATGCAATCGCTGTCTGAGTCCTATCTGAAGTTACTTTGCAGTACTACCTGAATTTACTATGCTCTACTATCTAAAGAGAAGCATTGCAAATATCTAGCATCAGAGTTCATGTATAGTCTACTGCAGGGGGTCATAAGTAGGTGGCGTGGAACAACAGAAGACAGATATGCCCAGGAACGTTAAAAATATATATATATATTTATTCTCATACACCTGCTTTTTGTATGCTCACTGGTCTCTTTTAAATTCACACTGTTATTTCCCTTATCTCTATATTTATACACATGTTTGTGTTTTGTGCTCATGGTATTATAGACTAATGTATGCAGCTGTGTTCTGGAGACTGAGTTTATTCAAGAATGATGAAATTTGACATCCTTGGTTTTTTGTGCCTTCATCCTTACACTGCACCAACATGTACAGGTTTCGATTGAAATTTTACTAGCACTTATTAGGTAAACAAATAAATCCTGACTTCATATAGCTCTAAACCCTGTACACAGGTAGTGTAAGGTCAGCATATATGTTCATCTGTAAGACTTAAGGGGAAAACATAATCTCCATATGTGTTATACTTGCTTTTCTGATGAGACTGAAGGCTTAGCCTCTGCTATTTGTGTTTCTTAGTCACCTTCAGGATAAACTAAGAAAATAACCTGTATGTCACATACTGGCTAGTAAAAGCACAACCCCAGAAAAAAACCACATTTGTTTCCTGATGCATGTTAACCTGCTCTCCAGCATGGTCCTATGTGTGGGTTTGAATGAGGTAGATTCTTAAATGAGTAGTTTGTAGTTTTGGTTTATTCAAGACCTTAGGCCAAAGCACTTTGAGATATCTAGGTTATTTATTATTTTTGAGATGCCCTGATTTTAGTGAGAGTTTGGCATGAAGAGATCTTGGTTTTGACTGGAATAAAGTTTTGTTTTGTGCATTCACCTAAACATTATGTACCTAGATGTGTGCTAGATCAGATTGCTTAAATAACAACACAATTGCTGATGCAGTATATTTACTGAGTTTAATCATGCCTGTGAAAATTCTGTAAGAAAATATTTTAAAATAAATTCACAGTAAATCTTAGTTATCATTTTTTGTCATGGATTTTAAGTGTTTTTAATTAATTACTTTTTGATTCAGTGCTTACAGAAATACTGTTGAAATAGCTATGAAAATAATTCATGCAAGTTACTTTTAATTATGTGCCAGTGATTTATTTGTTTGTTTCTCTCCTTTTGTTTGTCAGGAAAAGAAGAATATATTGCGACGTTCAAGGGATCAGAATACTTCTGCTATGATTTATCTCAGAATCCCATACAGAGTAGCAGTGATGAAATAACTCTGTCATTTAAAACACTTCAGAGGAACGGACTGATGCTTCACACAGGAAAATCGGCTGATTATGTCAATCTTGCACTGAAAAATGGAGCTGTCTCCTTGGTCATTAATTTGGGCTCAGGGGCCTTTGAAGCGCTGGTGGAACCTGTGAATGGGAAATTTAATGACAATGCCTGGCATGATGTGAAAGTAACCAGGAATCTGCGTCAGGTAACAGTACAATGGATACAAGAATAACTGACTTTGTTATGAGTAGATGCTTGATGATTTGAAAATTGCATAGCGTGACATTGGATGTTTAGCAGGCATTTGATTAGTTTTTTATTTGCACAAGGAGGGATATTCCTGCCACACTTGAGCAGGGGCATATCTAGAAAGTAGTAGGGCAAGCAGCTGTCTGAGTATCAGTTAGATGTTTTAAAGACTGTAGGTATCACCTAGGTGTTTCTCCAGTACAACTGTCTGCCCTTGCAGTCTTGCATTAGTCAAGGCTGATAACTTCCCTAGGACACGAGTTACTCTAACTGAATTACAACTCTTTAATTAAAAGAAATGTTTTATCTATTTTTCTTTTAAAAAGTGGGCAGTAAATTTGCTATCTGATAAAGTTTACGCACTGTGTGGAGGCATCTTGCATGTCATGCCACGTTTAACTAAGCAAAAGCAGCAGTAAAAAATACCTAGGAAATTGCATGCTTACTCTTGGTGATGTAGTAGGAGGGTTTGTACTTCAATAGTTAAATTTGAGGTTGGGGTGGGAGGGATGAGGGCAAAGAGAATACCATGTAGGTGTGTATACTGTATCTGCTAAC